AAAAAAAAAAAAAAAAAAACAAATAGATTGAATAGAAAAAAAGTTGACAAACAACTATATATCGACTAATCACTATGATTTCTAGCAAAAAACACTTCTTCTGCTTCATCCCCAGCTTTTGCAACAATTTTATTTCTACAATATTTGTTCATAATTTTTCCTCTATTATTCCATTTTTTTTTTTTTTTGTAGTCTAAAATTAAAGATAAAAAATTTTTTAAACATTTATACTGGTCGTTGATCTAAAACCGTTATTAATTGGTATTCTATTCAAGTTGCGTCAAAGGTTATGTTAGATTGCGGTTAATTACTGTTAACTGACATGTAAACCGTCGCTTTATTGTTCTGAGCAATTAAGTTTAGATTTTTAGATGGTAGATCAAAACTGTATTGCTCTGTGCATTTTTGCTATAGTCATATCAACTAATGATTTTTGGCAAAATTGAAGTAACTATTTTTTAGTCTCTTCAAATAACAAAAAAAAACTTAATTGATCAACGCAGTTTACCTTGTTGCTGTTTAAGTTTGTCTAACACTTAACGTATTTTACGAATAAACTGACTATAAAGTTGTGAAAAATTTGATTACAATTACGTTTTTTCTTATCACACTTTTTACTTCTAATTTACTCTTCTACCGTTTTTTTCCGGATTTTTAACTTGCTAAAAATTAACCACATTCAGCTGATTTCCAGTAACAAGAATACTATAGCTTAGCATTGAAAAAGAAACTATTAAGCTACTTAAGTTAAACTAAGCTAAACCGAACTTAATTGCAAGAAAAGAAGAGATCTAGATACTAATTGGTTTTTTTACTTGATTGTTACGCTTAAACTACTAAAGCCTCCAAGTCTAGGCAACCAAAATAAAAAACTAAAGAAAAAAAAAGACAGTAAAGCAGCATTTTCTTTTCTTATTTAAAGAAATGCACTTTTTCTAAAAAAAAAAAAAAATTAAAAATAAAATAGAAAAAAACTAAACTGTTTATTTTTTTTTTCAAAAAAAAAAAAAAAAACACTAGCTTTGATAGAAATTTTTTGCTCTGTACAGCTGATAGAGGCAATTAATAAATGGCGGACGACTAGTTTCTGAACGAAGATGTATTGGAAAACACTATTTACAATCAACCAAGCAAAGAAAAAATGCATGAAAATCTGCTTTCATAAACAAAACAAACAAATATTTAAAAAAAATAAGATTAAAAAAAGTAAGAAAAAAAACCATACGAAAGAAAAAGATTATAAGCAAAGTTAACTAAAAATCCAACTTTGCACGCGGTTATTCACTGGGGATTTGATGAGATTAAACTGAATAGTTAGCAGTTTTAACTAAATTATTATCAGATTAACAAACTGAGGAACATTATTTGAGTGTAAAATTTTACACCTAAATTTATGTTGAATTTTCGCAACAATATTTTGCATAATGAGCAGATGATTCAGAAGTTTTACAGTGGCAACAGATGTAAGTGTGTTACTTTTGCTGAATGCAATTTTTGCAGGAAGCGATGTTCTCAGTTTGCAAAACTGAAAAAAACAGCGAACGAGAGGAGGGGTGCAGGGAAGCGGAAAAGGAATTCTGTACGGATAGCGGAAACAGTGTTATTTGTTATTAAATCGTATCTCATTTTTTTTTTTCATGATTTAAATGTTATTTTGTTCTTCTTTACTCTTCTCACCTCCTCTGATACCACCATTTTTTTCGCTTTAATAAATTCAAGTATATAAGTTTAGACTTTTTTATGCTGCTGTTTACAGCATAAACACAATAGGGGAAAATAATAATAGGTATGACAAATAGGTAAAGCAGCTGAATTTTTAGTGTAAAAGAAGTTAAGCGAATAATTGCAATAAAAATTCTTTCGCATATTTTTCTTTTTTTTTTAACTGTTCAGCCATAAGGTAACAACAAAAAAAAATAAAGCAGAGAAGAATTTTTCTAGATTGGGATATGTTAAAAAATACAATTTTATTTCAGAAAATTTTTGATTTTAAATAAATATTGCAGAAAAGTTGTACAGTGTTGAATAAACTTTAGAAATGTGAAGGTCAAAATGCAAAATCAAAGAGAGAAACAGGAAGAAAGATGTTTGGGCAACGGCAAAGAATAATCACAAAAAATTTTTTATCTTATTTAACAGCTTTCAGGCTACAACAATTAAATACATTAAGCAAATTGTTGGTATCTGTTGCTTTCTATAAGTGAAGGTACTTTATTGATACCATATAGTACTTGTCTATTAGCTGATGAAGATTGACTATTGTTAAGCCAATTTCTAGACCATTCTCAGCTAGATAAAAATGCCTTCTTTTATGTAGTACATAAGGCAGTAAGTCCATTCAAACGAAAAAACTAATTAATATATTTTAATGAACTTGGCTACCTGCCAACTTTTCAAAAAAAGGAACAGTATACTACAGCTAATAGTAATAATTGTTTCAGCACACTGTTTTGTTCAGCAGTTATTTTTGGAAACAAAAAATAATAGAATTCAAATTTTTGGTTTTGATGAAAATACTAATTTATTGTTCATAAATTACTGAAAATAATTATAACTTTTGTTTTAGACAGCTCAGCCAAACGTATATACGCCTTTCCTCGTCTATCGGTCTCGCATTGCAACAGCAGTGACTAATGGTCAAAAACTGATGATGTGAGCGATTTTTCAATTTAATTTTTCTCACTTTTTTTTTTTTTTTTGCAAAAAAGTGTCTATGTGTGTCTTTTTTTTTACTTCTTTTAGACAGTCCATAATTATGTTGTTACTTTTTTAAAATTTTTTTTAATACAAAAACAAACTTTGTGCACTGCCGAAAACCTACTAAAACGTTACTAATAAAAAAAAGGAACACAAAAGAAATACGGAGGAATAATTTGTTACTGTTTAATAGCAATAGCAAACTAAACCTTGTATTTGTATTTCAATTAGCAATAGTAGAAATTACGCTTATTAAAATGTATATGAAAGAGGAAGAAACACTACTGTTACTTTGAAAGAGTGATGTAAAACCATTGATGTATCAGCTTTATAAACACATATGATAAGAATGAGACGATAACAAGGAAGCATCGAAAAAAAAAAAGAAAAAGGCTATAGAATTATCATAAAAATGTAGGCAGCCATTTCTCCGAT